GCGGCCGCGGTAGGCGTGGTCCATACGCTAGGCGGCCGCTCTCATACGTTACTGCGGGCGCTCCAACGGTATCCGCACGCTCTGATTGGTCAGTATTTTCCGTTAATATCTACTCAATGAAGCCTCGTACAACATTTTCGCTAAGGAAAAACTTGTTTCAAATCACCTCCCGAACCACCTATTTCAAGGTGTTACAACATTTTTGGATCACCCTGTATAGAAATTGGGTGTTTGAAAGTGTGGCTTATATAGAATGTTTTAGTTAAATTGGTCAGAATAGAGGTATAGGATTAGAAGTATAATATAAAAAAGTAGGAATAAAGAGAAATGTTTAAAAGTGACTTCCGCACAATTTGGTTAAATCGGTCAAGATAAAGATATAGGATTAAATGTATAAGTTACGAGAAAACTTATACCCACGTTCACTTTAATCCCTCTGAAATTATCTTAACGAACGCGTTAAGTCTGTACCAGGAACTGCTTAACGTCTCTTGATTGCTGTGACGTTTATTCGATACCTTCTAAAAACTTGAAATGTCTACGCGAAAAGAGTCTCCAACTCCCGTTCGCTAAAAAGGCTTCCCATACCGCATTCCATGCGGGATAGTCTTCTCAGTTCTGGAATATAGAACTGCTACCACTCTAATGCTCTCGATATATTTCGAGGGGATGTATAATATACTATATATATTGATATGTACCAAAATATTTACGGCTAGTTTACGCTGTAATTAATTTAACGAGCTGCATAAATCCATAATGCATTTAAATATATGCTTATGAAACCTTGTATTATTATTCCTACACATACGTAGTTTAATACTTGTAGGAGAAAGAATTAGTAAACGACTAGTGTACTGGAGTCCATTTCGATATACGTAATTTTATTCAACGTGACAACAGGAAGGTAGTAGGTCCTAAGTTGTGGACCTGGTATTAGTGCAACAATCATACATAGTTATTAGGGGTACCTATGAGCAATGTCGTTTTTTATACGCAATTTTATTTTATGTAAGAATTGGTACAGTTTTAATGTACAATGTAATCTTTATTGTTGTCGACAATTCCTTTAAAATTTCAGAGATGCTTAAATGGTTCGACTATTGTAGGTATTGGTGATGGAGTATATAATACTCTTTATGGCTCTAAAATCATTATGAAGTGATTATTTGTAATGCTTTGATAGCAGGAATATTTATTCCCAATTTGAAAATTCATAAATTATCAAATGTCTATTACGTAACTTAATCACACTCGTGGGTGCACTGTGTACATTAATATTTAATATATAAGGTGTCATAAAAATGTTGGAGGTCCTTGAAAGAGGTGGTTCGGAAGGTGATTTGAAACAACTTTTTCTTTAGCGAAAATGTTCTCCGAGGCTTCGTTAAGGAGATATTAACAGAAAACCCCGGACTAATCAGAGCGCGAAGATGCCGGTGGAGCGCACGCGGTAGGCGTGGACTGCGCGCTAGGCGACCGCTCTCCGCCGTCATCCTCGTGTTCTGATTGGTCCGGAGTTTTCTGTTAATATCTCCTTAACGAAGCCTCGGATAACATTTTCGCTAAGGAAAAAGTTATTTCAAATCACCCTCTGAACCACTCTCAACCACCTTTTTACCGAACCACCTCTTTGAAGGACGTCCAACATCTTTGGGACACCCTGTATAATTTCTACTGACATAATTAAACCGTGGAATACATGTCTGCTGTTCCATTCTTATGGGTTTCACCCAATTTTATTCCAAATTTAATAATAATCATATCAAACATCAATACATCCAACCAAAATATAAATTAAATGAAATTATTGTTAACGGGATTCTCTCCAAAATGTAAGAAAAATGACTTACTCACAAGTATCTCTAACCGTTTACAGTACGCATTCATAAACAGAGATTTAAAGGGATGCGCTAGAAAGTGCCTCAAGTTTCTGTCGAACAAATTCGCGCTAATAACAGTGTAGTAATTGCAACGTCACGTGAGTCGTGAATCATAAATTTTGTCCGCACCCTTTTAGCGTGCATCCCTCGGCGGTAGCATGTCGAGCGTCCTGGTAGGGTTGTTTAACAAAGGGAAGAAAAGGGTGTAGTTAGAGAACGTCGAAAGGAGCTTGAGATTCTATGGCGGGAACTTGCACCTACTTGGTTATCGCAGACGGCATTTAGGATTCATTGCGTACGAGTAATCAGTCTTACAATCGTCTCTATTCAAGGATACATCTAGTGTAAACGTCTAGAAAGAGAGGCTACTTTAGGAATTAAAAAGAGAAAAATTATAAATCGTACAAGAATAAATGATTTATTCTTGATATAGTAGTATTTAATATAGCAGTATTTAAGAATAGGTATGTTAGAATAGGTATGGTAACTAACATTTTTGTTGTGTTCTGTTGTTATTAATATTTTGGGAAAATTATTCAGGAAAGTAATAGGGAGAGAGGACAGACTAAAGCGCCCTATATACGATACGACCGTAGGAATGGGATTCCATTGTCTGTGGCGCGATTTCGTACGACGCGCCTAAAACACGGTACGATTTCTGTCGTACGACACGTCGCACAGTGGTCCGGATGGCCGAAATGCAATTTTTGAAGTTTCGAACATACTTTTTTCAATATTGTGCGTGCGTTGTATACATATGAGTGCATTAATTGCCGTTTGAAAATTTAAGAAATAGTGATCGGTTACTGATGTACAGAGGTTCAAAGTTGACGAAATTTCATGCTCCTTGATATCGTGAAAAGTGGCGCATGTTTATTGTGTCATAGAAAGGTTATCCCCAATAGATTCATATGTAAATCATTTTACCATAAAAGTAGATGTTATAAACATAAACTTTCCACAAGAACAAAGTAAAATATCTTTGGATTCATTATTGTAATTCCCTTCTCAATAAGGTATCAATTTTAGTTATCTTTCGATGAACCGGAAGGAAAACAAACATGATAGTCACCGAGTGACACGCTCTGCCAAGTTTCTTGATATGAAGTAACATGTCAGGTATGATATCCAATTGAGAAAACTTGCGCAAATTTGCGCCATTTTGAGTTATTTAAATTTAAAGTCCATGCTTACAAGGAAAAGAAGACTGTTTACGCGGAATTAAAACAAACCTTATTATCCTTAATTT